TCTTATGTCAGAAGTCTAAGGCCATTTCACCATGGTCAGAGCGGCACTTACGGGCCAGGCTGTCTCAGTGGTAGATCTGGCAAAAAGTTGACCCAACCCAATCCGAAAAAACAGGGTTAGGGTCTCATATTTAGCCATTTGAATTTGAGAATGACTCGATAAAAACTGAGTTGGGTCGTAGATTAACCCACTGACCCCATGCCAGGTTTAATTGGGACTATTTATGCATTGTTAGAAGTTTTCACTCTTTAATTTTTACTATTTAGTCTTTACTCTTTGAATTGTTAAATGTTCAAGTTATTTTATTTTATATTTTGAATTTTAAGGTTAATTCCTTTAATTTTGGTATTTTTCATGTATTTTTATTTTATCTTTTTAAAATTTCTGTTATTTTTTAGGATGACCCGAATTGACCCATGTGTCAACCCTAACCCAAACGTTTAGGGTTAGGGCATAGAATTTGACAAACTAACCCAAAATTCAACTCAACCCGAGATCAATCTGAAGTGTCTTGACCCAACCCAGACCCGAACCTGACCCTCCCAACACAATTGCCAGCTCTACTCAGTGGGATTGAGTATAAATACAAAGTTCTGAGTTTTTTTTTTATTTAGTTTTTAATGGGCCATCTCTGTTTATGTACTGAAAAACGTTTCATGAGTTCATTCAATCGGAAGAGAATGAGCTTTAAACCTTATTTTGTGGACTAACATTCGCATATCTAGATTAGGGCTAGAACATGGGTTAGTCTGGGTTGAGCCTTTGTCAAATTTTGAAGGGGCTCAATACAGTTCAAATCCATCAACTGTAGGTGTATATGGACTGGAGCTTACTGATATCTCATTCTCGCCATGGACCTATGGAATTATTTATTTATTTATTATTTTCCTTTTCTTCTTGCCTTATTTAATAAGGATACTGAAATATAATAAATTCTTGTGATGCATTGAACCTGTTCCCCACCAGTCTATTAGGATGGGGACCCATCTAAAGAGTGATGTCTAATGTCCCACGCATGAGGTGAGAGATGGAGGTGTAGCAGCGCAGAGGTTGAAATATGGCAATTCTATTGGACCTTAGGGCAGCTCTGAGCTCTGTACTGTAATGGTTCTTGTTAATGCTGAAGACATTCAGTAGATCAAGGGTCTTTGATCAGAAGAAGTCATGTTTCTCAATTGGTTTTATACTTTTATTTTCCTAAATGTAATCAAAACATGCCCATTTTTAGAATGGCAAAGGCAAACCTAAAGGCCCACGAGAAAGATAGTGATGTTCAGCTGAGCTAAGCCCATCCTATATGACAGGTACAAAGCCCTGATCAGGCCCATTTAGCTTTCTTTAGGAGAATTTTAGGATGATCACATATAACAACCATTAACGATGCCGGTTAAGAAATCCAGCATAGTAGACAATCAATATCCTGGATTTCCTAGCTTTCCACCCGGCCAGCCTGATGGTCTATCCTCTGGGCTCTGGCTTCATGGTTTAGATCGTAGCATGAAGTCTGGACAGAGCCCATATTGCTGATCCCAAAAATTTTCAAACTTTGGATATCATGGTTGTTCTGAAACCAATACCAATTATACAATCAAGATGGGGGGTGGGGGAGTAACCCATCCATCCAGTTTCGACCCAATCTGGGCGAAGATCTCTCTCTCTCTCTGATTGAGATGGTTGGTAATGTTAGTGGTCATATTGTTGTTTGTCGTTGTCGCTCTTTAATTCCATCATCGACGGCAGAAATTTAGATTTGTGGGCCTAAAAGTGGGCATATGTTGCCAAGGTTTGTTTGAACAACAGTCAAAGAAGTGATTGAAAGCATTTCATCGCTCCCTTCCTTCCTTGAACATTCCAAACACAAATGATACCTTATTCAACTCCATTATCCAACAAGCAACAACTAATCCCTTCAACACGTTCATTCTTTTCAACCATCTTTTTTATTCTCTCTAGTCTCAACGATGAAAGAGCCCTTCTTTTCCTTCTCTCACCTCTCACATCTCACATCATCCCACTCCCATACACACATGGAAATTTGTTTGTTAATTGTTATTAAAAAGGAATAGAGCAGGCGATGGTTTACTGAAGAGTATGAGTTCAGATTTTTCTTAATTTCTCCTCTTTTTATCATATCAACAGGATTGATTTTCTCTGTGAAAAAGATTAGGAAAAAGTACATTAATTAGTTTCTTTTAATTACTAATATAATTGGGATGCATTCCTATTGGAAGAAATTTACCCAATTGAATTCCGTGTCCCGTTCCTATCACCCCATTTCTTCCAACTGAAGTGACTTGTCATTATCAAGTGTCCACTGTCTAGTACTGATTGATGAATTTGAGGAACGGACCCACTTGATTAATTGAAGCTCGCCCATGAGTACAGCTGTCAATGGGTCGTTTTTTCTACTTACATACATGTTCTTAGTTAATAATATATAAAGTCATCTTTGTTTTTTGTGATTTTTTTTTTGTTATATTTTATGGAAGGCTTATATTTTATAGAAAATATATAAGATAATTTTAATTAAAAAAAACTCTTGTTTTATCGACATAAAAAAGTTTACTATACATTTATTGTCATTTTATTAAATTTATATTATTAAAAATGAAGTTCCAAGCATTATTATCATAGGTAAATAGTTAACTATAGATGTCAAGTATAATTGGGTCAGACCATTATCCTGATTAAGAATTGATTTAGTTCTCGGTGCATCTTTTCATGGGCTGGACTATGGTGAACATTTGCATTACTTCAGCCTCAGGCTTCGGACTGGGCCCATTCAAATTTTGACAAAACTAAACATGAGCCCAGCCCATCAACAGATCTAGTTCTGGGTTTATTTTATGAAAGTGAGAAATTATCCGTTCTGGGTTTATTGGTAGATAACTAGATGAAGCAAGAAAATCAAATGGGTCACATCACATGGAATCTCCTTTCCATCTACTGAAGTAGGAAAGTTAAAAAAAAAAAAAAAGACTTAAGCACTTAAGCAGTTAAGTTGAAGATCCATTTCTGTAACTCTCAGGACTCAAGTGCTGCCTATAAAAAGCTATTAAAAGATGCTTTAATAAGGTCCTCACACTTTTATCTTGCATACCCAGGAACTTTCCTTGCTATTATCAACCATCTACATAGAGCTCAAGGCAAAAAAACAAAATAGCCAAACTTATTGTTCCTATAGTTTGGTAATGGATGATCGATGAGATGGTGTCGGGGCCGGATTAGAAGCACTCTATTCCACCCTACAATTCTTAACATTTTTCATGCATTGGTACAGCTAAAAATTCAAGTTTGTGATTTAAAAGATTATCACTTGTCATTTGTATTAATCACTAGTCAACAAGCTCTCTATGAAAGGTTTTATTTTCTTTTTTTGAAAATTTATATATTAAACCATAAAAATAATAGATTAAAATATATTGTCAAGCTATCTATGAAATTAAGGATTTAACTGTAATACCAATTTGATGAGGATAATTAATTAATTACCATACTAACAAATAATCTAATGTATTAATTGCTCAAAGGGCAAAAAATACTGAGAAGAATCAGTAACAAAATTTTCAACATAATCAAATAGTCTCCTTTGCCAGAATAGTTACTAGCATGGTTTTTAAAATCGGACCGGACCGGACGATCAGACCGGAAAAACTGGGAACCGATAAGGTGACCGGTTCGGTTTTATCTCAGAACCGTTATTTTACCAAAAACTGTTGATTTGGTCAGCAAACTGCTGATCCAGGTCATCGAATCATTCAAACCATCCAACAGTTTTGACTGTTTTTATTTTTTAAATTTTTTTTAAATTTTTTGTTAGAACGGGCCATCCGTTTGATTCGAACGGTTGGACCGTTCGACCAGGGAACCGGACCCTGACCGGTTCTACTAGTAGAAATGCAATTCACAGGGTTTGAACGCATCAGATAGCATGGATAGAATGATTACTGATGTAATTAACCATGGGAACTAACTAGATCCAAATCACAAGGCTTTTTCTGCACTTGAAAACAGTACTTCTGGTTGCATATTTAGGGAGTGTTCATCAATTGTATGGTTTTCTTTCTGAAAAACAGAAACATTTGGCAAAGGTGGCAGGCAGTTGCTTCTATTTTCAAAAACAAAATGATAACACATTGGCAAACAAACCCCTAAAATTTTCAAAGTGTGAACAATTCATGATTTGTTGTTTTGGGGAAGAATTTCCGTTATTAGTAACAGTGGCAATGATGGTGGTGGTTATTGTGATAGTGGTGGTTATGATGGTGTTAATGTAGTAAGGTTTAGTCCTGAAATTAAGGCACCTTTGTTATAATCTTTTTAAGGGCACCTCTCCAAACCCAAAAGTATTCAATGGAGCTTGTAGGAACAACTCTCAGAGGAAATTCCCTACACCCTTCGTTGGAAGTATCCTTGACAAAATGAAATAATTGCTTTTTTAAGTTGGCTTTATGAAAAATATGTTATATTTCTGTGCTGTAATAATTGCTTTTTAGTGGTTGGCTTTATGAAAAATATGCTGTTTTAACATATGTTCATATGCCAATGCTGATCATGAGAGAGAGAACCCAATTAGTCAATTGATGAGGAACCGGACGAGCTGCGTTTGACCAGAATTCTGGATAGACCAAGGCTTAGAAACTAATTAATCTTGTAGTTTTTCAATTGACTGCTTCACTAACTTGAAATAAAGTGGATCATTTCTTGACTAACTCTTTTTTTATTTAATTCTGATTTTTTGAGAGAGAGAGAGAGAGAGAGAGAGACTGGGTTACAGCTACAAAATCTCAAATTAAGACAATATCAAAGAAAAAGATTAAACTGTGTGTAAATCCAACAATACAAACGTCAAAACCGTGTCTCTCTCAACAGATCTTCACTCAAGACTCAATAACAATGCCAAATGACTTTTACTCGTCTCTCTTCTCACAGTCACACACCTCTCTTGTCTATTAATCCTTTTCTCCCCATCCCCATCCCCATCTCTTATCCCCCTTGTCCTGATGTTCCCATTTCCACTCTCCATTTTCTCCACCCTTTAAAACTTGCTATGTCTTTTCTCTAGCTAGTTCCAGCTAGAAATTAAGCTTTCCATTTGACAACAATTTTCCAATGGAGTCCAGCCATGAAGATTCAAAGACTTCGAGCGAAGATGGTGACCAACAAGATCATCAAGATGATGCCAGCACTGGCCGATCGTATAGATGCGTGTTTTGTAAGAGGGGTTTCACCACTGCACAGGCCTTGGGTGGGCACATGAACATCCACAGGAAAGAGAGAGCAAGGATCAGGCAGCCCGCTGCTCCATCGGTCTCGAACAAGCCCGACGGCAAGGAGGTCTGTCCGGAGTTTCCTCCACCAAGTTCGAGCCGCAGACCGCTTTATCCTCCAACCCCAGACGCACAGAGGAGTTATCATGTCTACTTCCCACCATCCTCATCATCATCATCTGCAGGCACTAGACACCCACAAGGGCACCATGCAGGAGATGAATTTTACATTCGGAAGCCACAGTCCTCAAGCCTGTTTGAGGATGATTGCAACACAAATCTGTGCTTGCAGATTGGTCCAGTGCATACCAACTATGGTGAAGAAGAGAAGAAAAGAGAGGCTGAAGAAGTTGAACCTGATTTGGAGCTGCGGCTTGGTCATGATCCCTAGCTAGTACACTGTCACATATGCCATTTACGTAGATCAGCACTATTGCTTAACTATATTGTATAGGTAGGTATTCTTTGATTCTGATATAATTAAAGTAGAGGTCATGAATTGGGTTTCTTTTCTCTCTCTCTCTCTTCAGCCTTCTCAGTGTCATTAATACAAAACCAACCATGAGCTCCTATCATCTTCTCTTTTGAAGGGGAATTTGAGATTTGAAGGAGCAATTGAAATAATCAGATATGATGTCAAGATTGAAAAAAAAAATGTTGCATCTGGTGAACAAGGTTAATTAAAACTACCAGCATATATATATATATATATATAATCAAGCAATTTGTAAAAGAATGGATGACCATCCAATTGGTGTAGGAGACGACCAAATTTCTTGAAACATTCTACGTGCTATTATCCTTCTGGTGGAGTGAGGAAATGTTGGTTGAAGAGAGCATCTGGTAATTGTATAGATTGGAATTTCCAGTGGGTTTAGAAGTATAGATTGGAATTTCACCAGGATTGGTAATTGTATGGGGTTTGTATAGAAGAGAGCATCTGGTAAAAAATAAAATATATATATTTACTTTCTAACTTATACATATATAATAAATTTATATAAATATAAATATTAAATTTATTAACTATAAACATTATATAGGTATATATAATATAACAATAGTTTGGATTTTAATGGGATGAGATGTGGAATCAGGTATCGGACTTTTGGAGTCGGTTGAAAGACCTAACAGCTACTCCAGTTCCAACCCATTAATTTTTTATGCAATTAGCTTTACTGCAAGCTAACATTTCTTCAAAGTCCCGATTTATTAAAAAAATTTGCCAGGTGGAAAATTTGAGCACAATTGAGGATTTTGACCAACATTTTATATATATTTCCAAGTTATCAAAACTACATTGCCGACAATGATTCAATGAAGTGACACCAAAGATTAGGAGCCACCTCAATCTTCAGTGAATAAGGAATGCTTCTAGCTAGTTATCAAGAATAACTAATAAAAAACTTGGGTAGTTCAGAGAGAGAGAGAGAGATGACTAACAAAAGCAAATAGAGCTGTGCGGTTTGGCTATTGAACACTCATGCATTGAATGAAAATAATACTGATTTCGTTGAACTAAAAGCAAGCTTTCCTCATATAACAACCATTGTTTTATGCCTATCAACAACTCCTCTTTCTTCCTTTCAGGGGTGTTTGGAAAGCATCGTGATGAGTACAAGGTTTAGTAGGTCATAGACGAATAGTGAAGGTTTTGATCACGGGTGGTGATACAACTCTTCCTGTGTGCAATCTGTCATCATCCTTGGCTTTTTAATAGAATATGGGTTTGCTTTCTCTTGGGAAGTCAAGTTCAAAGAAGGTATTCCATTTTTTTCCATTATATATGTTTTTGCAGTCAACATAGTATCATGTGATTCTTGGTAGTTTTTGCTCTAAGATTTTCTCTTTTACTTTTCTTTTTTCTTTTGTTTTCTTTATTGTACACGTCGTGTAGCCAAGTACAAACTTTTCAATTTGAATGTTTTTTTCTTAATCTTCCTTGATTAAAGTTGGTATCCTTGCACCTACCACATCTAAGTTCTTTCTTTTTGTTTTTTTTTTTGGTAAAGAAAATAAAGCAAACTTGAAGCAATTAAAAAGTATCTAAAAGCATTATTACAGAAAACCTCCTAATGGAAAAAGGACAATATATTGTTCTAATTTGAAAGACAAGAAGATCATGTTTTCTGATAGCAATCACCAAAAATTCTTGAATTAGTAATCAGTATTTTTCTATTGTGAACTTTCATTGCAACAGTTTGATGAATCCCTTTGACAACTTTTCACCCAGAATATCAATACAATAAAATTCATGAACACATTAAAAAATAGTATAATTTCACCAAATTAAAGGGCACCTTATTTTTCACCCCAAGTATTGTTCTAGGTGCATGGAGGGGCGGGCACCTAATAAAGTTCTATTAAATCCTCACTCCCCCCCACCCCCCCACCCCCCCCAAAAAAAAAGACAGTCTCTTTTGAATTCTTCACCTCTCTTTTACTTACTTCTGTCACTTTTTCTTTATTTAACTCCATATCAAACATTTGGTGTTCAGAATTTGTTTTTATTATTCATGACATCCAGATCATATGCACTCTTCTCTTATAGGGTTTTTCTTCTTTTTTTTTCTATGGAAGTTAGTTTCCATTCAGATGTGCCAATTCATATCCCAAAACTTTCTTGGATTAGAAAATAAAATCCATTAATTAGTTCAACAATTACAACCACATTTTCTGTATTAATTCCCTTTGTTATTTAGTTTAAAAAACAAAAAATTGTGATGAATGGTCTCTACTTTTAGCAAATAATCCCTTTAATTACCCCTCTCTAAAAGATGATAGTGAATTTTATTTTAGAAAAGGTAAGCATTCTTTTTGGAAAATGATACTATATCTATCAAAGCAAATTTTAGTTTTGTAGTTGGGTCATAGAGTATAAAGTCAAACAACTAGTAGTATACATTTTTTATGAGTTGTTTGGCAAACAGTTGCCCCTTCTCCCTTAATTGAATTTCTAGAAAAAGTAATCTACTATTCGTACAACTGAGAGAAGATATTTTAAAATGACTAAAATGGGCAGGCCAAATCACATTACCTCTTTTTCACTCACTTTGCTTCTAAACCCTAATCAAACAAACCCTTAGAAAGAAGAAAAGAAATATGAAATATATGAAGAATATATATAATTAAATATGTAAGAGAAATGGCAAATGATCCCATAAATTAAGGCCCCGTTTGGTTTTGCAGGAATAGGGGTCTGAAATCGGAATCGGAATGGGCTATTCCGATTCCAACTATTTGGTTGTGCGGAATCCCATTTTCATTTTCTGCTGGAATGACATTCCCCCATTTGAGGGAATGGTCATTCCCTGCCCCTCTTTTGGGAATGAAATTCCATTCCTGCTGATTTTAATTTCCATTTTCATTCCTTTCTGAACCAAACAAATTATGGGAATGGACCATTCTAATTCCGACTACAAACTAAATGGATCCTAAAAAAAGAAAAAGATAGTTTGGGGATTTAAAAATATTAACAAATGAATTTTTTGCTCCTACAACTCTTGAAATTTGTGAAAAAGTTACTTTTGATCTTCTCAATTTGGAAGGAGTACAAATACATAAAGTGTAAAACCTTACATTTTGTATTTCTTTTATGTACTCGTAATGTACATTTTTGTATTTATACTCCTTCCAAATTGAGCCTAAAGATTTAAAAGCACCATTTTCTTCCTCAAATTATGGTGAAAAGGCCACATTATATCTAAAAGTGATTATGTAAAAGACATTATTGGCGGATCTATTAAATAAATAATAAGACAATAAGGCATGCTAAGGTAGCATTACTCAAGTCAAAATAAATTTGGGAAATTATAGGTGGATTCTACTTAAAATTGCCCGTTGTTTACACATGACCAATTAAAAAATATTAGGCTTGAATAGGGGTCTGAAATCGGAATCGAAATGGGTTATTCCAATTCCAATTGTTTGGTTGGATGGAATCGGAATTCTATTTCCATTTCTGCTAGAATGAAATTCCCCCATTTGAGGGAATGATCATTCCTTGCCCTTTCACTTGGTAATAAAATCTCATTCCTACCGATTTCAGTTCACATTCTCATTCTTGTCTGAACCAAATAAACTATGAGAATGGACTATTCCGATTCCAATTCCAATTGTTTTGTTCAATGAATGTTTATTTCCTTTCGCTAACCTTCTTGCAGCACCGACATCACCAACATCCTCTGTCAAGCCACCTATTGGATCACCACCTCTTCCTTGCCACTCACTCCCTAATCTCCTTCTCCTGTCCAAGTCACTAACGATCAGCCGCCCCCATCTCCTATCATACCACACCTCCTGCTGTACCTTAGGCTCCGCCCTCAATTGTTTCAACATAACTAATGATCACCAGATCCAAATCTGGGATTAGCAAACCCAGTTTCAAACATCTGGAATCTAGAGCCCAACATCAGGCCCATACCTTCTCTAAGCATTCAATCTTCACCTCCAGTCCTGAACCCACATGTTTTACTGAAGCTAACAATCATCCTCAGTGGCACGATGCAATGGTTGAAGATTTCCATGCACTTGTTCGCAATGGAACTTGGGAGTTGTGACCTCGATCTGAAGCCCAGAATGTCTTGGGTTGTAAGTGGGTTTTCCATGTGAAGCGTTGACCTGATGGTTCTACAGACTGCTACAAAGACAAGCTCGTTGCTAAGGGATTTCATTAACGTGAAGGCATAGACTTTCATGAGACATTCAGTCCAGTTGTAAAGCGGTTTCTCACAGCTGGGACATTCAGCAACTCGATGTGCAAAATTTTAGTAAAATTTAAACATAAAACCCAAAATTGGAATTACTCTGTCTGTTACTATAACGATACTACACGCTTCACAAATGATCTCATGTGACTATTCTCTGAACAGAAAAAAGATTAGAACTATATACTGTGGGTACTCATTAAATTGGTCTCAACTCTCTAGTCTCCATTTCCATTTGAAAGAAGAAAATGCAAAAGGAGAAACTCAATAACTCACCATGAACTATATACTGTGTGGGGTACTCAATAACTCGTTTCATGCTAGTTCGTAATTGGCGTTGGGAAGCGAAGCGTGAATTAAGCATGTTAACGATTGACACTGGTTTACACTCAATGAATCACATACAAACAAATGAGTCCAGATTTTTTGCCCACAATAACTCTTGTATTTGGAAACAATGCAAGTATGTAGAGTGTAAAATGGTTTATATAAATTGTAAAATTGAATTAGTTTTGCATTGATAAATTTATCTTCTTACCAAATAGATTTTTAGTTGTAATGGATGCAAATCAGTGTGAATGCAAAAAGTATATGCTTTTTTTTTTTTATTAGAAGTCCACTTGAATATAAATTTACTTCTTTTTTTATTGATGTACTTTTACATCTTATTATCAATGTAAATATACATTGATT